CACCCAGAATGCTTAGAGTTTACTCCTGGTTCTGCACTTCAGGGATTACTTTGGGTAGCTCTGGAGACCATCTGGGATGCCGGGAATTGAACCTCAGTCTGCTTCATTCAAGGCAAGCGGTCTACCAATTCTTATCTCTCTGGTCCCCTAAAGGGGATATTCTTTCCAGACTCCAATGCCAGAACATTTTCTTGGAACCGGGTACAATCTTATTTCTAATCATTGGCAATTCAGTGGACAGATAAGCACTGACAGGCCATCAGCCTGCCCCTCTGGCAGTCACTGATCATTCAGTCACAGAAAAGTCTGTGTTGGCCTGTAGGGTAGAATCCTCCGTAGGCTGCAGTACATGGCCCTGAGAGCCCCGGGAGCAACCTGCAGAGTTATAAGTGGACCCCAAGAAAAAAGAACAAGGAATCCACTTTATGTTTATTTGACCCATGATTTCCCAGTCTGAACACAAATCTTTTTTTTTTTTTTTAAAGAAATGTGTTATTGAAACTTCTGTAAAACAGTTGTTTTAAAGTGGCTATATGGGGGCTGGAGCGATAGCACAGCAGGTAGGGAGTTTGCCTTGCATGCGGCCCACCCAGGTTCGATTTCCAGCATCCCATATGGTCCCCTGAGCACCACTAGGAGTAATTCCTGAGTGCAGAGCCAGGAGTAACCCCTGTGCATCACCGGGTGTGATCCAAAAAGCCAAAAAAAAAAAAAAAGTGACTGGGGCTGGAGCAATAGCGCAGCGGGTAAGGCGTTTGCCTTGTACACAGCCAACATGGCCCACACAGGTTCAATTCCCAGCATCAGATATGGTCCCCTGAGCACTGCCAGGAGCAATTCCTGAGTGCATGAGCCAGGAGTAACCCCTGAGCATCGCCAGGTGTGACCCAAAAAGCAAAAAAAAAAAAAGTGGCCTATATGCAGGGAGTCAGAGAGAGGGAACAAGAGAGACAGAGACAGAGAGACAGAGAGAGACAGAGAGAGAATAAGAGAGAGGAGAGAGAGGAAAGAGGGGAGGGGAGAGAGAGAAAGAGAGAGAGAGAGAGAGAGAGAGAGAGAGAGAGAGAGAGAGAGAGAGAGACAGTACAGCAGGTAAAGAACTAGCCATTTTCATGGCCGACCTGGATTTGATCCCTGGCATCTGCATAGTCCCCAGCACAGCAGCCAGGAGAGATCCCTGAGCATGCAGCCATGAGTAAGCTCTGAGCACCGCTAGGTGTGGCCCAAAAGCAAAACAACAACAACAACAAAATCATCTGTCTGTCTGCAGGCATAAAAAGGTTGAAAACCACCGTGGTCATTAATTGCCAGTTGGCGGACAGTGCTCGGCCAGGAGTCAGTCCTGAGGGCACAAAGGGTGAAAATCACTGCCAGGAAACAGTGAACAGAAATTTTGGGTGTGAAATTTCATAAAATTTGTTGAGGATTTTGTCTTCAACTCAGAGGCATTACTCGCCAACCCTATAATGGTGTATACCCTCTAATTCTTCCACAACAATCCATCTAAGTATGGCAATAGAATCTGAAAATCTGTTTCTTAGTATCTTTTTATTTTGGGGTCATACCCAGTGGTGCTTAGGGATCACTCCAGGCAGTACTTGAGGAACCCAGTCATGCTGGGAATCAAACCCATGCCTCCAGCATGCAGATCTTGTGCTCAGTCCATTGAGCTTCCTCTCTGGCCCCTGGAAACCTGTATTTCAATGCTGGAGTCACCATTTCCAGCCACTGAGGCACTCGAATCTGCTAGTTAATCAGTGCTTCCATTCCTTCACTTATAAACTGGGGATAACAGCTGCCCAACCACTACTATACTTGTGTGGGTCAAAAATCATCCCGAGAATCATCTAAATTTGCAAATGGGGCAGGAGAAATACTATGGCAGATAAGACACTTGCTTCACAAACCAGTGACCTGGGTTCAAGCCCCAGCAACACATATGGTCCCTTGAGCCCACCAGGAGTGATGCCTGAACACTGACAAGTGTGACCCTCACTCCCCAAAACCAACCCAAAAATCAATTTGTAAATAGTTTCTGTTGGATATTAACCCTAAGTATTTTAGGCCTCATCAGTGAATTGCCCCTTTTCCTCCTCCAGAGAAGCTTGTCCATGCCCTTGCTAACATCCCTAATTTAGTTAAAGTTCATCTTTAACTTTCCTTTGTGTTGGATATTAACCCTAAGTGCTTTAGGCTTCAGCAGTGAATTGCCCCCTTTCCTCCCAAAGAAGCTTACCATGCTCTTGCTAGCATCCTTAATTTAAATTAAGGATGCTAGCAAGAGCATATATGTACATATATATATATATATATCGCTTTTTGGGTCACACCCGGCAATGCACAGGGGTTACTCCTGGTTCATGCACTCAGAAATTACTCCTGGCAGTGCTTGGGGGACCATATAGGTTGCTGGGAATCGAACCTAGTTCAGCTGCGTGCAAGGCAAACGCCCTACCTGCTATGCTATTGCTCCAGCCCCTTTCCTTTATATTTTTACCTCTCATTGTCACAGTTCCCCAAGTCAGTCTTGATTATTTATAAGCCAAAACTTTTTGGTAATTCTGAACTTTGCATTTGTACTGCTTTGTATTTGAAGTACTGCATATTGTATTTGAAGGTGCCTTTCTATTTCCCCTGTAACCTTTTTATATTTTACTATAGAACAGTGTTCTTTGGTTAAACACAGAAAGACCATTAATGCTATGCTCCTAATATTTGGCAGCTGACTTACTCTGAAATGTATCTTCTGGGCATCCGGCATAATTACTTGACTCAGCTTCAGTTGCTGTAGTTCCTAACACCCGAAAAGGGAGTTCCCGCTGTGGGACCTGGGGACCCAGGGGTAGTGGCAAAGCTACCCCGGCATCGAATTGGGACAGTCTAGGAAGCATAAATGCATGGTCTTGATGCAAGCTGTTATGACTTAAGAGACAGGACCCCCATGGGGGAGGAGAAGCTGAACTGGCCTGAGGACTCAGTCTGAGATTTACGGTAAATCGTTTGCTCTCAGAGCCCAGAGAACTAAGTGTCAAAAGCCTTGCTTGCTCTCAGTCCAGAGAACTAAGTGTTGGGATCTTTGTCTCTTACTGTGTTTATCCAAATACCAAGTATTGATAACATACAACTAGAGGGAAAAATAAAAGCAATGTAGATGTCCCTGGGAGACAGTTAATATCCTTGAGTTAATATCCCCAAGAGAATTTCCAAGACAAATGTGTATTTATGTAAATGATCAATCACACCTCTGTCCTTACCTCAACCCCCCTTCAGATGTTTTATAAGCATGCTGGCAGTTCTGCATTAAACGGGTCATTTTCACCATCAGGCTGTGTTCCCCCGGTCTCCACAGCTCTCTGTCTCCCTTCTGGGGAGGCCTGGGGAGGTGGGGAGGAGACTCTGGACCACAAAGCAGCCCCCACCTTCTATTTTGTGAACACACAGTTTCAAACAAAAATCATTTCCCTCTAGGTTCCGCCAGATTTATCTACATGATCCAATGGTCAGTTGGCTTCCCAGCCCCGCTGACAGCACTGCCCTTTCCCTCCTAGAACCAAGCATCCATACCCTCGTCCCATGGGTGCAGAACATGTAGGTGGGCTCTGATCGGGCGCCACAGCAGCACAGGGCGGGTGGCAGACAACGCCCTTCCTGCTGACAGATCACCTCCCACCAAATCAAGAGAAGGAAGCCATCATTTATTAACCTCTTCCTTTTGGCTGTCAGTACAAGAGATTAGGAGAAGAAGAAAAAAAAAAAGATTCCACAGCCAACCCAATCCTGATGAGCAGGATATAGAAACCAGTTGCATGGCCTGCCACTAGACTAGGAATCTGGGATAATTGTCAGTGTCCTCCTTGGCCCCTACTGCAGAATATTAGATTGCTAAATCATTGTCAATACGCCCATCTGATGAAATTAGGCCCATGGGCCTAAATGGGGCCACTCAGTTAATCTGAGGGATGAACCCAGGAATGTATAGGAACTAAGGTCTCTCTTTTGGCAGATAACCAGAGAAGGGAGATCCGTGTCTAAGCAACTTAAGCTCTTCTTTGAAAAGACAAGCTGGAGCATAGGAAAGGATTTGCGAGTTCTGCCATTTCCTCCTTTGGAGTCCTGTGTTCATGCTGCAGGGGAGGGTCTGGCCCAACAAGGGCTCCATGTCTTCTGACTTTTAAGTGGATTATTTTCTCTTACAGTTGGACCCATTCCTTCTTTTCTCCTCCAAACACACGCCCAAAAAGGCATAAACAGCTATTAGCTGCATTTTTTGTGCATATTAAAGTTCTGCACTTTAAATGTGTCTAAGAGCACGAATAACTTTTCCACCAATGCACTCATCAAAAGTTGTCTATATATTTATTTAATAATAAGGAAAGAGATTTCCAGGAAGAGATACAATTTAAAAGGTCTTTTCTAAACAGGCTTCTTCTTTTTTCTTTCTTTATTTTTTAAGGTAACAGTAGTGCACAACACTGCCGAAGTCTCTGGGGAGTTGGCTTTGACCAGTAACTTTAACCCGGTATGACCCACATTCAGAGCACCCTCATGTCATTTCATCCACCACCATCCATGCTCCGATTTTACCTGCCACCCACCCTCATAACCACCATTCAGTTGTCAGTTTCTGTGTGTTTTGTTTTGCTTTTCTGTTTATCTCATAACAGAACGTTGATCATAAAAACACTAGTGATCCAACCCTCTAAAACAGAATACCACAGGAATCTAGAAAAGGAGAAAACACATAATCTTTCCCGTACCTGAAATTAACCTGCACACACCCCAAAGTGCTCTTTCAGAGACAGCAATAGTTAAAAAAAAAAAAAAAGGGTACAGACACCCTATGTGTAGTGTTCAAATCATAAAACCTAAAGTGGATAACACGTGACAAAAATAAGACAACAGCATCCAAAATCCCCTGCAGATCACAGGATTCAGAGGAAAACGCTGGGTGACTGTCGCAGGCGAAACCCACCGGGCCGGACCGGACGGTGGGCAGGCGGTCACTGATAGGATGGGTACAGCGGGATGTCGCGAATGGTCAGCAGGTTTACGGTGGCCCGTGCACCGCTGGCCGGGTGCAGGCCAAGGTAGTTGTCGGCGAAGCACGCCCTCCGGGACAGCAGGGCCAGCATGTGGTTGAGGCGGGACCGCAGCCCGGCCAGGTGGAGTTGCCGCTCTTTGTTGAGGTTGCGGAAGGAGTCCCGGATGCACAGGTCCAAGGTGGGGCTGCCCCGGAACTTGGCGTGTCCGGGGGTGACCAAGTCCGTGGCGCGGAGGGACGTCTGGGAGCCCAGGGAGCTTGCCACGGAGCCCTGGGAGGAGAGCGAGGACGAGGATCGCAGGCTGGACGACCGTGACACGGACATCCTGGACACTGGGGAGCCTTCCTTGGACTGGGCGGCCTGGGGAGACCCGTCGGCGGTGGCGGCGTCCGTCTGGGTGGCCGCCGCCCTGGACCACAGCGTCGTCTGGCAGCCAGCGGCCCGCGTGCTGGTCACAGCCTGGGTAGCCGCGCACACCGTGTCCGGGCAGCTCTGCGTGGCAGCGTCGCGTACCCTGGTCAGCAGCTCCGCGATGGGCTCAGTCTGGGTGGCAGTGCTGGCCACCCGCGTGACTGCAGGCTCGTCCTGGTGGCTGCTTATGTAGTCCTCGTCACTGATGGTGGAGGCCTCGGAGACGCGGCGTCCGGCTCGGGGCGTCACCCCCTCCTCCTCGGGCTCGGCCTTCCGGGGGGTGCTAGAGAGCCGGGCCAGCCGCAGGCGCAGCAGGTTGCCCAGGGTGGGCTCCCGGGGCAGCGGCTTCCAGTCCACCAGGTGGTCAAACTTGCCGCTGATGCGGAAGCTGGACAGGAGCTTGGCGCTGATGGGCTTGGACTGGGCGTACAGGATTCGGAACTCCAGGTCAAAGTGCTCCACCACTTGGCCTGAGAGAACAACCAGGTTACTGCTGTTGAGTTTGCCGTCTGTCCAGGTGAAACTGAAGACAAAACAGAAGTTGGTAAGGACCGGCCATTGGGAGCGACTTACTTTCCATCTGTGATAAAGGCTGGATATCCCCCGAAGAGCCAGAGATTGGGGAACGCAGAGCCACTGTTCAGTGTGGACCCCACAAAAGGTGGGTATGTGGGTATCCAACACACTAAAACCCACCTACCCTCAACCTCCAGGCTTCCAAAAGGAGCGCCCAGGGAAGCAGCTTTGCAGGGGAGTGGGGGAGAGAAAAGGGAGGGAGGGGGGCGGTCCCAGCCTGTAAAATTGCTCCCTCCTGCACCGCCAGGTTCACTATGGAAGATAAGCCTGTGGATCTAGCTGTGCCACTCGGCCCACCTACGGCTAGAGCCTTTTCTCTGCAGAAGAGGCTTTCACAGGAGCTCCCCCAGCAGAAGAAAGCAATTGTTCCATGGCTTCTGGGGACTGCTGAGAACACGCTTCTTGCACCGGGAGAGAGCTACAAAGGCCACGTCTGTCTTTGCACCTTGGCCTTCAGATGCAGGCTGACTGGGGAACAGCAGCACCAGGGCAGACATTGCATCAATGTCTGGCCTGAAAGGCAAGATGAGCTGGAAACCACTGTAATTTCCCACGCTGCCAAGCTGCATGGGTCACTCAATCCCATCTGCCCAAAAGAGTCTGTGTTAGGATTGAGGGCTTGCAGTCACCCCAGTGAGACAGAGTGAGAAATTTCTATCAGGAGTACCATCTTTTAAACGGAAGACCATAAAGCAGGGTATCAATTGTCCCTTGCAAGCAGGAATCCCGGCTAATGCAAATCCCATCTCTCCCACTTGGAAAACCGCTTTCAAATTCTGAGGGAAGACTTTTTGGGAAACTCTGACTGACATCACAGACACAGGACATGTGGCTACCACCAGAACTTATAAAATGCCCACAACAAATGCAAGTTATCCGTAGCAGCAGCCTGCATGATAGCCTCATCACTGCCGAGGACACGTTCCCTGATTTATACTTTAGAACGAGATAATAACCTGGCAGGCTACCGAATGTAACCTGCCCACACGGCAGAGTCTGGCAAACTCCCCGTGGCGTACCCAATATGCCAAATACCAGTAACAATGATGGGTCTCATTCTTGTAACCCTGAAAGAGCCTTGAATATAGCACTTTTTAAAATCTCAGGGCTAGGACGAAGGAGACGTTACTGGTGCCTGCTCGAGGCAATCGTGATCGTGATACTTTAGAACAACCCCAACCCATATGGAACGAAGATTGTTAACACAGATAAATCCCATTCTAGGTGAAAACCTAGTTTCTCCTGAATGTCGGATGGGGATGAGCTGAGTCTTGTTCCGAGCAACGGCAACACTGTTTGAAGCATCAGTTTCTTCAGGGGCAGGAGCGACAGTACAGAGGGTAGGGCACTTGCCTTGCACATGTCTGACCTTGCACACGTTAGTTCCTGTTTTAGCATATGGTCCTTGGAGCCCACCAGGAGTGATCCCTTAGTGCAGTGCCAAGAGGAAGAAGCCTTGAGCACAGCTGGAGTGTGGCCCCCAAACAAAAACAAAACAAAAAAGAGTTTCTTGAGCCGACAGTCTCACCTTCCATAAACCTTTGCGTGTTCACCTTGATCCTGGGCTGGCACGTAATTAGCACTCAGGGAAGCCTGCCTCTTCAAACTGAGTTTTTCTTTCAAACTCTAGAGACACGCCTCCTGCATAACCATCCATGGGGCAAGCATGCCTCCCCCCGCCTCCCCCTTGCGGGAGCCTCAGGGGTGAAAAAAGTGGATCTCCCCTCCTGGGGATTAGTGTCAGCCACTCATTACGCCCCACCCTCCATTCAACATCCCCACACTCTGCCCTCAGATGCCACTGCAGAGGGAGACATCAAAGGCAGAGGCAGAAGTGGGCACTTTCTGGACTAAAGCCCTAAATGACAAGGTGAGGGACTTAAGTATAAGGCTGCAGCCTGGGCTCGGCCCTGCGCACTGATGCTCAGATCTGCACATGCCCGCCCCTTCCAGGAGTGGAGACTAGGAGGGTCAGGTCCCTCAGAATAGGAGTCACAACGTAACTATTCGGAGCCATAACATAGTACAGCCAGTAGAGAGCATTTGCCTTGCATGTGGCCGACCCAGGTTTGATTCACAGCACTCCATATGGTTCCCCAAGCACTGCCAGGAATAATTCCTGAGAATAGAGCCAGCAGTAAGACCTGAACACCACTAGGGAGTGTGCTCCCCTCACCCCCACTCCCTGCAAATAAAGACATCACTACTCACTGTTCACCTATTCCCTGCACCCCTGGCAAGGCCTGAATCTAGCCCACACTCAGGATGTGGTCTCCACTTCTGTATTTAAGTTTTGTGGGCCACGGACATCCTGAACACTGGGAGAGGACCCCCATAGACTGGTTTCCTCCTACGGGAGGCAGGCACTGATGAACTCACTGCAAGATGGAACTCACTGCAAGATGAACCCACATGGCACCAAAGACTTGCATTGAGAGGAAACAGAAGCATTGGCCTCTATGTGAAGCGCTCCCTCTAAAAAGTTTAGATGATTAAGCGTGGGCAAGTGAGACACATACCTGTAGGAGCCTGTAGCCACTCGGATGCCATCGATCAGTGTGAACTTCTCATGAACCTTCCCAACAATTTTCGTTCCTGACCTGGCATAGTAGATATTTCCGGTAATAGTCCGAACCGTCATCAGCTGTTAGGAGGGGAGAGAGGAGAAAGAGAACAATCCAGTAAGCGCCAGAATGAGGGTTCAGCTTACAATTCCCAAAGAGGTCAAGGTGTTGTTGGTGAGGAGCAGCTGTTGGTCACCCTTCCCTGGCATGCCCAGCGCATGGGATTCTCGGCCTATGGGGCTATTCCAGGGGTCTTCCCCTCACCTCATGTACCCCTTTCTTACAGGGATTGCCGAGACCCTTGGCTTGGAAGGATGTTCGCTCTGCAAGACCACTCACTTTGGAGAGATGCTAAGTAACAGAATCCAGGAAAGAATGCTGAAACAGACGGTGGGGGCAAAAATCATGAAAAAAGCAAACGTGCTACTGCTGACGTTTTAACAACAGTTGAAAGAAGCAAAGCTGGCATTTCTCCTGCTCGCCTGTCAACAGCCTCACTGCAGAAGAATGCAACAACAGCCCCTGCTCACAGACATGACCATAATGGGCCTGGCGGGCAGGCCCAGAGGACACGTCCTCCGACATGAGGCAGAAGCGTCTGGCCCCCAGGTGCTGGATCAGCAACACGGCGGCTACAACAAGCACAGAAATGACACAAGCAGTGCCCGGGCGCTGGTGCGGACTGCATGTCCGCGGAGGATCAGTCTTGCAAAATGACGCACACAATGTACAGATAATCATATGCAAAATACTAAGACAATTTACATTCTTGGAGTGGATCGGTGCTTACTTATCTTTAGAAATCTTCCACGTTCAAATTGAATGTGTAAGATTTTTGCTCAACTCTCTCATTCATTCTACATAGAACAGCCCAACGATGTGACAAGCTCGGAGACCCTGAAAGACACATTCCGGGCCTTCATGAACTACAAGAGGGCAGGGGAAAGTCATGAATGGTTTCAAAGAGATGAAACAAAGCAAAAAACAAAAAAGAAACAGAGCAAGGGTCCGGGGAGATAACTCAGAGTTGAAACTCAGGTACAGGAGCTGGAGCGATAGCACAGCGGGTAGGGCGTTTGCCTTGCATGTGGCCGACCTGGGCTTGATTCCCAGCATCCCCCAAGCAACTCCAGGTGTAATTCCCGAGTGCATGAGCCAGGAGTAACCCCTGAGCATCGCGGGGTGTGACCCAAAAAGAAAAAAGAAAAGAAACTCAGATACAACAAGGTCCCCAAGCAACACTGGATGAAAGCTGGAGACCCCCAAGCACCAGCTGGGTGGCACGGATGTCCCTGGCACCACAAGGCCAGAGCAGCTGTGCACCCTCAGCTCTCATACTGGACCCGGCTGGCCCCCTTGGCTGAGTATCCCTGGAAGTGGCCCCCAACCCTCCTGAGCATCATTGGGGAGAGCCCAAAATTAGAAACCTTGAAACTGGGGCCAGAGTTGATAGCATAGCAGACAGGGCGCCTTCCTCACACACACAGGATCCAGGTTAGATCCGCTGCACTTGATATGGTCCCCTGAGCTCCGTCAGGAGCTATCCCTGAGCACAGAGCTAGGAGTAAGCACCGAGCAACGCTGTGTTTTTTAAAAACAAAAATATTTAAAATCTACAGGAAGGCATCACTCAGAGAAGCAGAAACCTACTTCCACGCAAAACCTTGTACCTGAATCTTCCACGTATCCTGCACATGTCCTGCACGGCATGAAACTGGGCACTCTCTAGCATCCAGCAGAGGGGAGTAGTTTAACACCCTGTGCCCAGCCTGCCCTGGGCTGGAGCGATAGCACAGCGGTAGGGCGTTCGCCTTACAAGCGGCCAACATGGCCGACCTGAGTTCGATTCCTCCGCCCCTCTCGGAGAGCCCGGCAAGCTACCGAGAGTATTCGATATGCCAGACACAGTAACAACAAAGTCTCCAATGGAGACGTTACTGGGCCCGCTTGGGCCCAGCCTGCCCAGGGGCCGTGACCCCTGAGGAGAGAACAAATTTGCCACACCAGGCACGCTGGTGGATCTCAAAGACGCTGTGCCAAGAGGAAAAAGCCAGTCCCACAGGTCATGTGTTGCTAAAATTCCACTTATGTAATATTCTCTGAAGAACAAATTACAGAGATATGGAGCAAACCAGGGGTTAAAACTGGGGCAAGTACACAGAGAGGGCTGTGAACGTTCAGCGCGGGGGAGAACTTTGCAGGGATGGAGAAGTTCTGGCTCGGCCGGGCTAGAGGTGACATACAGCCACACAGGTGATAAGGTTGTAGCAAACAACAGCCACACCTTAGAAAAACGTCCAGATGTTGACATTATACAGTAAGTTATATAAGATGCATATATGGCACCTCTTTCTAGTAGCAATTTATGTGAATCTATTCTGATTCCAAAGTAAATAAGGAGACACCCCTGGCCAAAATAAAAAAAAAACACAAAACCTAGGACAAGACCTGAATTACACCCATTGTATTTTTACCAAAAGGAATACTCTGAATTTACTCAGAGAAGCATCAGAGAAATCCAAGTTCTATGGAAAATGACTGGTATTCTTTTTTTTTTTTTTTGCCTTTTTGGGTCACACCCGGCGATGCTCAGGGGTTCCTCCTGGCTCTGTACTCAGGAATTACTCCTGGCGGTGCTCAGGGGACCCTATGGGATGCTGGGAATCGAACCCAGGTCGGCCGCTTACAAGGCAAACGCCCTCACGGCTGTGCTATCGCTCCAGCCCTGACGGCTGGTATTCTTTTATCTTGTTTTTGGAGCTTGCTTGCTTCTGGCTCTGCAGTCATTCCTGGCAGGGCTCAGGGGACCATGGCATGTGCTGGGGATCGAACCCAGGTCGGGGATCTGCAAGGCAAGGACACTACCCCATAGTGCTAAATCTCTAGCCCTGTTCATTCATTCTTCAAAAGCATCAAAGTCCTGAAAGGCAAAGGAAGTGCTCCAGGAGAGGACGCTAAGGGGCACAACGACTAAATGTTAAGCTAAGGTCCTGGAAGGGATCCCAGAGAGGTAAACAGGGTATCAGCAAGACGATGAATGAAATTTAGACACAAGTTTCAAATTAAGTTTATTTCTTCATTTTCAAATTTGGAGTGAGGTTTATAAGATGTTATTACTTAGAGAATTTCAGCAAAAGACTATTTGGGAATTCTTTGTGTTGATTTTCTAACTCCTTTGCAAATCTGATCTCAAAATAAAAATGAAAAACAAACAGAGGCTGGAGAGATAGTACCGTGGGTCGGGCACTTGTTCTGCATGGGACTTGACCCGGGTTTGATCCCTTGGCACCCCATGTGGTCCCCCAAGCACAGTTCATGAGTGAACTGAGCGCAGAGCCTGGAGTAAGCCCTGAGCATTGCCAGGCATGGGTCCTCCCTCCCACACACCCCCCCAAAAAGAAATAAATGACAAATCACCCAACTAGGGACATCCATGGGGCAGCTGGAGGGTAAAGGAAGAGGACATGAGCCTGGACCAAGTTCAGAGGACCCATACTGAATAACAAGCACAAAACTGGTCCCCCCTGCACAGATTGAAGCCGGTTCTGTGTGCCTTTCGGCCTTCTCCAAGTGATGTGAAGGTCCCTGTGAATGCAGCCAAAGCCCTGCTGAGGACCCTACAACCAGGGCACCCGAGGCTCTGGAGCCAGCCAGGAGGAGAAGGTGCCAGGGACCAATCCTCTCGAGGAGGTCAGTTCCGCAGCAGGGACTGGAGGGGAGAGAAGCAGTTGGGAAAGATGAGGCTTGTCCTGGTCTCAAGGAGGGACCCAGGGAATGGTGAGGCCAGAGGTCCAGACCGCCTTCCGCCCATCCAAGAGCATCAGGACATTCAGGAAGGCAGCAGTCAAGTTAGGAAATGCAAGACATGAATCAGAGACAGTCACCTGGATCGATGCGGAGGCCGGAATGATGATGGATTTTCTGCTGCTGTCACATAGCCTGACAGGAAGAGCACTGTGAAGTGAGCCCATTGGCGCCTTCATTTCTTCACCTGGCCCTCCGACAGCACTCCCTGACTGAGCTTTTTATCTGGCTACCAGGTAATGGCTTTCCAAAGTCTCACTGTCCCTGGCCCCACATATCCTTTTTAATGGACAATTTCTAATCCATGGCTAGTTTGGTTTGTTCCGTCTGCAAGTTTCAATGCGATTCCATGAAGGATTTACTTTGTAAAAAAATAAATACAATTCTTTCTTTGTAGCACTCACGACAAGTCAGTTAATGCTTAAATAAATCTAAACTTCAGTCTCCTCATTAGAGGGAAAAACCAAAAAGAGGCCCAGGCGACGTCACCAAAAGTCTACAGAGCCAGAATAACAGGAGGTGAGCTCACGAGGCCCAGATTCTTTGCTCCTTACACTCACGGCTTCATTCCCACTACCGGGGACAGCGGCAGCTGCAGCACATTCTCACTCATGACGGCCGGGTGGATAATTAAGTTCCAATGAGCACATGTGAACTTGCTTAATTTAGAAAATATGATGGGTGGCCAGGGAGATGGCTCAAAGGGCTGGCGCACATGTTTTGCATGCCAGAAGCCCAGGTTTGATCCCCAGCACTGCATGGTCCCCTAAAGCACCCTCCCCGGAGAAACCCCCGAGTATTACTGTCTGTGGCCCCAAACCATATTCCCAAGAGCAGCCCCTGAGCATGCCTGGCTATGGCCCCAAACCAAAGAATATATCTGTATGATGTCAGAGACAGGCTCTTCTTACTCGTTCTACGAAAGACAAGAAGCTAGGCTAGACGCCTTTTAAATTTAAGCTTAAATTACTTTCATACTCAGAGTAAAGGACATACAAAGACTATTTTTATTTTACTATTTTGTGCTTGTGGTGGACGTGATGTATTCGATATGCCAAACACAGTAACAACAAGTCTCATGATGGAGACGTTACTGGGCCTGCTCGAAAAAAATCAATGAACAACGGGAGAACCGTGACCGTGATCTGGTGTTGGACATGGACTTCATCCGTGAGTCACATTCCTACCCTCCCAATGGCTAACTTTATAATGAGAATGAGACAGTAATTGGAACCGAGTTGGGTGCAGGCAGACGAGAGACGGACTCAGTCCTCTGACAGGCTCTGTATGGACCCTGGGCTCTGTGTCACCCTTCCTGACCTAAAGCCTTGGTAGAATGGGTGGCCGGAGTGACAGTTTAGCAGGTGGGGTACTTGCCTGGCACGTGACCGACTAGGTCGACCCAGTTTCTGTCCCCAGCATCCCACATGGTCCCCAAGCCCTGCCAGGAGTGATCCCTTACAGAGTCGGGGTAAGCCCTGAGCACTGGTGGATATGGTCCCCAAATCAAAATAAATAAATAAAATGTAGGTAGAAGGCCCTCTCACCTGTCAGGGCTTCTCTAAGGACAAAGCTGACATTTATCAAATGCCCAGGCAGTGCCAAAGCCAGTGCAGGCACTTGTCATGTGATAACAACAGGTGATGCCCACACACAGCCCAAGGCAGCAGCGCCCAGCAGCCTCTGTGGCCCAACTGCCCACTTTGGGCGCGGCAGAGCACTGAGCACTGCCTGGGAGTGACTGAGGTCCGAGTCCTCTGGCCTTCCCTGAGGCCAACCATCACTGTGCCCAGGTCTCCATTCCCTGGCGCGTCCATGGGGACACAGCACCCCCCACTGACCCTCGGTCATGTGATCAGCTGAGCGAAACTAGGCCTGGGAGGACACGAACCTTTTCCTGCTCGGGGTGAACTTTCAGATCCATGCACATTTCCAAAAACTGAGTGAGCAGAGCCTGGTCCAGAAGGATGTACACGGCGACGCCCTGTCTCCGGCTGATGTCCTGCAGGTCTCGGAAGATGTCGATGTCGGTGAAAACGTCCATCACCACCGCGATCACCTACAGCATGAGCAGGGGGCAGAGCGGAGAGTGAGTGGACCCCGCCCTTCGCAGAGTCCCTCCCACGCAGGGCGCTCATCCAAAACGCCTCCACTTCCCAAGAGGCTGGGGCCACTGCACCCTACAAACCCAGGGGGCCCAGCAAACTCTTGCAAACTTCTCAAGAACGCAGGGGAAGTCTCTGCCCTGCCGGCCTGCTCCATTCCACTTCTCTCCCTTAACTAACTCCCCATCATCTAGTCACGGCTCAGACCAACAAGCTCTCAAGGTTTTGGAGCTGGCACCCCACCCGATCACCTCCGGGTCTGTGGCTTGAGTTTCCTAAATATATAAAACAGTGACAAAACCTCAGAATTTGAGCCCCTTTCTGGGTGTAACATTATGAAAATCTATAATCATTATCTGATTCTGGCTCATAATCCCTATGGGGGTGTTTTTGCCTTAAAAAACACACACACACACAAAACCACTATGATCTAGAAGGCTGGAGCTCAGGGGTTGTGAGTACAACTGGTTCAGGGGTCTTGACAGAGGACCTACGTGTCCTGCTCCAAGTGGTACAAGATGTGGGCTCAGAAGTGACAGACTGGTCAGTGGTATGGGAAGACTGCAGCTCAGAAGCGGTGGCTATACCTGCTTCTGGAGTCTTGACAGAGGACCTAAGTATCCTGTTCCTAGTGGCCTGAGATGTGGGTTTGGGGATGATTTCACGGCAGAGCCTGGCAAGCTCCCCATGGTGTATTCAATATGCCAAAAACAGTAACAATAACAGTCTCATTCCTCTTACCCTGAAAGAGCCTCTAATACAGCAGCGTTGGGAAAGACAAGTAAGGAGAGGCTGCTAAAATCTCAGGGCTGGGACAAATGGAGACGTTACTGGCGCCCGCTCAAGTAAATCGATGGCCAACGGGGGGATGACGGTGATACAGTGATACAGTGATGATCTAGAAAGGCCTTTTCCCATCTCTCTCCCCCCTCCAACTCAAGGCTTCCGACTAGTCAGGATTGGTAGTCAGCCCCTCCTTGCTGCTGCCCTATCTTCAACAGTCCACTCCTTCCCCTGGTGGTCTAGAGTCGCCCAATGCCTTCCAAAGCCCCTGCTCCTCGTCTACCGAAGGTGGGCTCTGCAATTCTTTGGGCTCTGCCCAAGGAAGCCTGCCACAAGAACATGGAAATGCGTCCCGGGGATTCTGCTCCGAAGGCCACACCAGCCCATTCTCCTCAACAGCATGGCCCCTTCAGCACCCTCTTCCACCAGTCTGCCCCCCATTGCCCCCCAGCCTTTCTCTGTGCTCAGTGCTGCCTTTCGGCCATGTATCCCTAGGCAACTTATAGCTGTTTGGGATGTGGGTTGTGTAGCCACAAAGCAGGTGTGTGGGGAAGACTCGATGCCAGCTCCAGGAAGGGCAAGTTCCAAGGTCCCGGACAAGCATGTGCGCGTTGGTCCACTCCCTAGTGCAGGGCTTGGGCCGGCAGCACAGCTGAGCCTGAGGGACAGCACCGGTGTGGACCTTCCCTAGCTGCAGAGGCAGGTTTAGAATGGGCAACCACGGTCACCTCTCAGAGGAGCCATGAGTGCCACACACACACTGTGGGGCCAGGCCCAGCCCCTACACCAAGAAATCTGGTCTTCTGAGGGCGACAAGGGAAAGGCAGGGTGACCCAGGGACAGGAGTGCCCCGGGGCTCCACTGGGAGGGGCCCTGGCAGGCAGGAGTGACTGGGAGCAGCGCCCAGGGAACAAAGCCAAGCGGTGAATTTTGATTCACCACTCAATAAAGCGTGTACAAACAACACCTTCACCAGAGGGTGAACATGGATCAAATGTGCTGTGAGGTTCCCTGTTTGGTTTTGAAAGTCTCAAACTTTCTGCCCCGGAAGAAGAGTTGGATGGAAGTGATGCTTGTCCCGAATGCCCACAGGGCTCAGGGAAGTTCAGAGAGGCCATTTCCTCAGATGCTGCACCTCTCCACCCCACCTTCGCCTCCTCAAGTCTGGCTTCTTAGGGTCATGATACGTTTTAAATTTTGCTTTAGGGAGGCTGGAGCGATAGCATAGCGCGTAGGGCATTTGCCTTGCATGCGGCCAACCCATGTTCGATCCCCAGTATCCCATATGGTCCCCCAAGCACTGCCAGGAGTAATTCCTGAGTGCATGAGCCAGGAGTGACCCCTGTGCATTGCCGGGTATGATCCAAAAAGCAAAAACAAACAAAAAAAATTTTGCTTCAGAGCCTGAGAGATAGGTCACGGGCCTACCTAGCATGCAGCCAACCCCAGCTAAATCCTCAGCACATGGTCTCCCAAGTACAGCGCTGGGAGCAGACCCACCAGTCACCACCAGGCAGGGCCCGTAAGCAAAAAAATTTTTTTTAAGTTACTTTAGGGACAAAAGAGAGCGCACAGGAGTTAAGATGCTGGTCTTGCATATGGCTGATCCCAGTTAGATCCCCGGTCCATTGGTACCCCCCCAAGCACTACCAGGAATGAACCCTGAGCTCAGAACCAGGAGTAAGGCCTGAGCATTCCATGGGGTCATAGAATGGGGTCCAACATGGGGTCCAACTCCCTCCTCCCCAAATCTCCTTCAAAATATATGTCCGTATAATTATTAGAAAATGTTTGATCTGTCTACCTAAACCTTTGGCACTTGCAGCCTCCTTTTGTCCCCCAAATTGCCACCATATGGAAATGTATAAAACAGAAAACAGGGAAACAAATCAAGTATTCACTGATAATTATCCAGACATTTACTTTGAAACAAACTGCTGAAGTTACAGGACACGCCTTCTCCTCCTTTGCCCCCCATAGGGGCTCAGGTTCACAGACGTGTAGGCAGCCATGGCCTAGAGCAGGACCTGGAAGCAGTGAGCGGTGGGCATCCTCGAGGTCCCAGCCTTGCTCACCATCCTCCCCACTGGTCCCTCCAGACCCTCCAGGCCCCAGGCCGCAGGTCTGCAGAGCTACCCTCACCCTGGGCTTTCCCAGACCTCTGCAGGGCGTCTCTGCTGAGTGAGTCTGAGTCCAGCCACTAGACCAACCAGCCACAGTGCCTCAGGGGTCGGTGCTCACGCTGCAGCTGCTGGCCCCGAGGAGGATGCTGAGGCTTGAAAGAGCTTTGTGATAGTCCAGGGCTCCCCGTCCTGGGAGCATGGAGAGGGAGAGATGCCAGGCCATGGGGGGAAGCCCATGCCCATCAAATGTCCATCAGGTGACGAAGCCTCTCCCAGCCAGACCCACGCAGCCTGGTCACTCTGAGGCCTGGTGAGTTCTGCAACAGTGACTTCTGAGTCTGGCCCAGGGAACACCGGTGACACAGGCCAATCCGCCCCCTGCACAGAGCTGTGCTTCTCCTGCCAGACCTGTGTGGAATCCCACCCCGTAACCTAGGTGACAAAACGCCCAACCTGACCCAACTATCCCCTGGGCAGCTGCAGGGGGGGATCCAGTGAGACCTGTAGCTGCAGAGGCAGGAGGTTTGGGGGTGCTGGGAAGGGCCCTGGGGTGCTCAAGTGACTTTCCACTCAACTGCAATGCTGCCCACTCGCCTTCATGTGAAGAAGTCCTAGGGAGATGCCATTACTTCCAAAACCCCATCAACTGTTACCCCCAATTTATAGGTAAGTAACTGAAGCGTGGTGAGGTTATGGAATTTGTTCAAAGCGACACATTTCAGAAGTCTCAAAAGAGATCAATTAGCTGCAATAAGTTCTCAGATAGCTGCTCCTGGCTGGGACCTCCGAGGCATTCTCAGGAGTGGGGTGGGCTGAGGTCCCGCCCTGCCAAAGCCCTGGCAGCCCCGCCCACACCCCAAAGTCACCGCCATGCCTCCGGTCAGACTTCCCAGTTAAATATTCTGAAGTATTCGGAGAGCCCGGCAAGCTACTGAGAGTATTCGATATGCCAGACACAGTAACAACAAAGTCTCCAATGGAGATGTTACTGGACCCGCTAGAGCAAATAGATGATCAACGGGAGGGCCTTTACTTTACTTTACTTTATCTGGAGCAACATCTCCAGAAAATGCACCCCAGCAGCAGCACGCCAGACTAGATGGGATGTAACGCAGAAGACAACCACTTGCAACTAACAAAAACATTAACACAGAAGGCTCAACTTCCCACCACTGCTTACAAGGACTTAAGGTCCCCATGGTGAGAAGCCACAATTTTCACAAACTTTCTTCTACGGAAATATTTTTTTCCCCCATCGTTCTGTTAGTCACTTAGTGGCGGCAACAAGCAATATAAAATAAATTATTGTGGGTCTCCTACCAACACGGCTTGAGGTGTGATTGGGCAAATGCAGTCGGGGTGGAGGGAAGATGACAGTGGTGGTGGGATTGGTGTTAGAATACTGAATGCCCGGAACAAATCACAAACAACTTTTTAAACCATAGTATTTAAATAAAGTGGGGGAGGGGGAGGGGAGAGAAAAAAAAAAAAAGAAGAATGACACATTTCATGAGTGCGAGGAGCTGAAATTTCAGCCCAGGACCACACCAGTCCAGAGTCCTGTGGGAAAGTGTTAGACTAGACGGCAATTCCAGGAAGCGTTAACCTCCAGTCAACAGATGATCAGGAACTTGGAATAAATGCTGAAAGGATCAGTCGACAATTTCACATAAAGGATGGGGGCTCAAACCCACCACGGAGGCTGACAGCGAGGAACACAAAACCCACAGATTCAGGAAATTCTTTTACTCTGTGAGTGGAAACTTCTCAGTTCCGCCTCAGACACCATGCCTCTCCCACTGCTGGGGGCACTGCTGGCTGAGGGGCATGAGCTGAATGGGAAAATCCGAGGTGGGGAACAGGCTGAGGAATTAGGGGCGGGGGGGGGGGAATCTGGCGCCCCCCTGCCCTTCTTCACACACGAGCAGGTTAGGTTCCTTGGCCAGCTAGCATCTGTGAAATGCATCTACTGCCACTGGCCGTGTGTGAGGTTCAGTTGGGGCAAAGTCTCCTGTCGGAAACTGAGGGCTCAGCATCCCCAGCCCTCC